GTTTCATTCTTGTCCCTTCGCTGCTTCACGCACCGTGGAGGAACCCAAAGGGCCGGACTTGCTCCCGGCTTCTCCTCCGACCTGCCCTCCACTCACCTCCCAGGAGCCGCTTCGACCCTCCAAGCAGCACAAGAGGCTCCGCCGACGCCATTATCCTCCCCCAGGTGACCCGGAAGAGAAAGTTCCTCTTCACTTCTTCAAATCCCCTCTAGCAATCCAATCTTCTACCGTTCCGACTCGTTCCATCTCCTTCTGTAGCCGACCCCCAGTAGACTAGCAATGCGACTGCTGTACTACATTCACAGCTTTCTGTCTCGAGTGTTTCTTCTTTCCAGAGCGCCATCTAGTGACATATGGCTGAAAACGACGCTCGTTCTATTTCCACTCTAAAACGTTTGCGAGCGGCTTTCATAGATTCTGTGCTTCGTTCTGTGCCATCAGTTCTTATTCGATTCCCATCGAGCAGAGGCATAGCTATCGTCCATGATAATCTATCCGAAACCTTTTCTTCCAGGTCTCCCAAGAATGCACTCCTTGTCCCTCTTGTTTGAACTAAACCAAAGGAAAGAGTCCTAGTGGGGAAAATAAGGGGCAAACAGCTAAGGAGAAAGTACACCTCCCTTTTGCTATTCCAGGCAGTGCTTGTTAGCTAAAGAGATCAGTGGCAGATCAGTCCCATAATATTGCCAAAAAAACCCAACATGTCCGTAAAATCCCAAGGAATCAATCTTAAATTGAAGGGGAGTTTTAAAATCTTCCAACCAGCAGAACAATGTGAGCATCAGTTTTTTAAGGACTGCAGCACCAGTAGAATAAAATCTTGGGTGGGAAGGAATACTTAGTAGCCAACAAAGTTCAGCCTAGTTGATTCTCTGCTTTTACACCACGGAGCAAAACAAACAGTTCTACTTGCTTCCGGCTTCTCCTCTGACCTGGCCTAAACTCACCATCCACCTGATGCTAACTCCCCCAAACTACCTTTTCAGCTGACAGAAACTTGAAAAGTGATGCTTAACCCTGCTTACCTTCACAAAATTATCCAGGTGCATCATAAAAGCTGATAAAGGGTTTTTTTTTATTATTTGAAGCTTTATGATTGCAGCTTCATCCTACTAATAGAAGAATGAAATATGGGACAAAACTGTGAAGTGGTTTCCCAGGCAGCTTGTGAAAAACATTTGGAGGGCTGCTAATATATAGAAAACTGATAGTCCCGGGCTTTAGCAGTTGGCTCTCAATTCTTCTCCCAGGCCCAGAAAGGAGCAGGCCTGGAGAATACCCACTTGCCCATAACCTTCACCTGCTGGTCTGGAACTCCTAACTTTTCCCACATCAAAATCACTTGAGGTCCTGACTTAATGACCCACAGCAATGGAAATTTTGGCGCCAATTGTCACAACTAACTACCCCTTGGTTGTTTTTTTACAAGCGCAGGAGAGGGCTGGAAGAGTAATTTTCCCCCTTCTGGACAGTTGGAATCCTTACTCGCTTTATACCTTCACCAGCAGTTTTCTATGCTTAATAAAATCATGGCAGGTTTTCCTGGCAGAAGAGTTCACGGCATTGCTGCAGATTAAGATCTTTTATAAGTGCAGCTGAAGAGGGCAATGAAAGGTTGGCGGCCTGGAACTTTCACTTACCTTCTGCTTTCAACTCTGCCTTTGCCACCTGGAGAAAGGGCTGTGCAGGAGACAGACACCTGGGTCTTCCCAACCTCGGTTCAGACCAGGACACATCTCCAAAATGGCATTTGTTGCAAGTGTCATGCACTTTTGGAGGATTTGAGATAGAAGGAGTATTGTGTCCCGCATAGACCTCTCCTCAGGCTGCAATTCATCGAGCAGGATATCCTTCTGGACTGGCTTTGGGGACTGGAAATGGAAGGCACTTTATTAACGGTGGTTCTACTTCTGCCCCCATGGCTGGTTCCAAAAGGTGTGGATAGTAGAAGACAGGCCGGGTTTTGGTCCCTGCAGTTTAGGGTGCCCTGAGGCTCAAGTCTTTCACTGTTCCCTTTTCACATCTACATGAAACCGCTGGGGGAGGCTATCCATACTATGACACCCAATTATGTACAGGTAGACATTTCATATAACATTTCATGTAACAACCATTTAAACATATAAAGAATGGTTGCTGGAATTGGGAATGTCTAGTTTAATGAAAAGAAGGATTGGGGTGACATGATAGCAGTGTTCTGGTATCTCAGGGTCTGCCACAAAGAAGGGGGAGTCAAGCTATTCTCCAAAGCACCTGAGGGCAGGACAAGGAGCGATGGGTGGAAACTAATTACGGAGAGAAGCAACTTAGAACTAAGGAGAAATTTCCTAACAGTTGGAACAATTAATTAGTGGAACAACTTGCCTCCAGAAGGTGTGAATGCTCCAACACTGGAAGTTTTAAAGAAAAGATTGGACAACCATTTGTCTAAGTAGGGGTTGGACTTGAAGACCTCCAAGGTCCCTTCCAACTCTGTTATTTTCTTCTATTCATTTGAAGTTACGACAGCACTCAAAAAAGTGACTTATGATCATTTTTCACACTTACAACCATCACAGCATCGCCATTGTCACATGATCAAAATTCAGACACTTGGCAATTAAGTCATATTTGTGACAGTTGAAGTGTCCTGAGATTATATGATCACCTTTGTACACTGAGCTGATGCACAATCTTTGGTTTCTCCTGGACTCACGGCTGAGAAGATCATGGCTGGGGGAAAGGCTTTACACAGATTCATCCGTTGCACCAATTTCGCCATACCTGGACCAAAGGAGGCCTTGCACACGGGTCACTGATGCCTTGGTCACCCTGTCTGAATCCCTGCACTGGACCACTAGAAACTTCAAATGGTCCAGAACACAGCAGCACACACAGTAATGGAAGCCCCTAGGTTGCCCATGTGACATCTTTTGTGTTGTGAGCTGCACTGAATTTGTTCCTTTACAGGTGCAATTCATGGTCATCCCCTTTAACAGCATTCTTTTATTATAGCAATAGTACTTAAGAGTTAATATACCACCCCAAAGTGCTTTATAGCAGTGGTCCCCAACCCTTTTTGTGCCACGGCCCGGTACCGGCATCACAAAATGATCCGCGGCCCGGTACCGGCATCAGTATGCATGACAAGGCAAGGCGAGCCGAGCGACCGGCCAGCCAGCCGTCCCCCGCTTCTCCCCACCACCTTCAACTCCTCCTTTGTACCTTTTTTGTGCTTTCTTAATCTCCTCCGCCATTGGGACGGCTCTTCGTTCGAAGCCAACACCCCCCTTTGATGAAACTAAGGTGCGAGGATTCCTTCAGGACCCAAACGCCGCTTTCCAACTGGAAAAGCTCACCCGGAAGCACTTTCTCGTCGAAACAAGATGGCAGCACCCAGCAAACCGGTGGCCCGGTAGAAAATGATCCACGGACCGGTACCGGTCCAGGGCCCAGTGGTTGGGGACCCCTGCTTTATAGCACTCTTGGCTGAGAGTTAGCATATTGTCCCCAGCAACCTGGGTCCTCATTTTACCGATCTCAGAAGGATGGAAGGCTGAGTCAACTTCAAGCCCTCTCAGGATCGAATTCCAGGCAGGGGGTAGAGTCAGCCAGCAATACTGCATTCCAACCACTGAGCCACCAGGGCACCTGTCACTATTGTCCCACTTTTATTATTCTTGCATTCATCTGCTCTACCAGGTCAGATAGGGTGGCTACATTGCTCGCCCCTTCCCTTAGATATTGCCATCTGATGGGAGCTAGGAAGTGAGCCTTCTCTGTTGTAGCCTAGTTCCTTCTCTACTTTTACACTGGAGGAAACCAGGCAGCTTGACTTGCTCCTGGGTTCTCCTCTGACCTGACTTCAATCCATCTTCTAGCTGCTGCTTGAGCCCTGAGAAGAGCCACCCCCACGCCATCTGATAGCAGCTAAGAAGTGAGCCTTTTCCACTGCAGATCCTGCCCTAGGAGACAATCTTCCCTCTGAAATTTGACAGGCCTTTATCCTCCTGGTCTTCCGTAAAGCAAGGAAGTTCTAGCTTTTCCACTAAACACTAGGTTAATAAGAAGAGAGAACTGCATATCAGAAGCTTGAATTTACACCTGATTTTTCTTCTTATGTATTTGGTTTTAATATGTTTTTTTGAGCCAATTATTGATTGGGATTGGCGAGCTAGCCAGAGTTTGTTATTACATGGGTGGCTACATAAGTATTTTGAATAAGTCATAGGAAAAAGAAATGAATCCAAAATATGGCCCCGGTGAGGCTGCCCATCTATAACATTCTTGAGGCACCAAAATTCAATGCATTTCTTCAAACAACTTTGTATCCCGCTAATCCTGCAGTTTTAACTTCTCCAACTTAACTCCTTGCAAGGGGAAAGATTACCCATTTGGAGAAGGAATGGCAACAGGCATGAATGTAGTTAGTAAGGCCAGGAGGCCTGTTTGACTTCTAATTTGCACAAAAGAATCACCTTTTTGGGAATCCCCCACATCAAAATGCCATCAACCTTGCTAGAACTGGCCTGTATTTCCAGGGTAAGTATATGTTAAATGTCTACGACATAACATAAAGTATATGTTAAATGGCTTGCCATTTTGCTATTTCTTATATATGGGGTTTGTTTGTTTCTGTGTTAAGGTTTTATTACTGTAAAAAAACGGGTATCAAACTTGATCACATCCCAGGCTGGATCGTGATGTATCACATTTTTTACCTGGAACCAGAGGTGGTATATTCAGCAGGTTCTGACCAGTTCTGGAGAACCGGTAGCGGAAATTGTGAGTAGTTTGGAGAACTGACAAATCCCACCTCTGACTGGAGATTTTACAATATCCTTCCCCTGTCATGCCCACCAAGCCACACCCACACAACCGGTAGTAAAAAAAAATTAAATCCCACCACTGGCTGGGACATATCCGGCCCACAGGCCACCAACTTGACGGACCTAGTGTAAACCATGTGGAATCACCTTGAGATGCATTGCCACATTCATTTTGTTAATAAATAAAAATGCATACAAGCATTAATATTTATATCCACCTTTATTATATGTAGAAATAACTCAAAGCAACAAGCATACCTAATAGAGATGCAATCTCCTTTACCAATCTACTCTGTGAAAGAAAATGACCGTACTGGACCAGGGAAAGGAAGTTCAGATCTCCTCACTCATGTTTGATACTAAGACACATTTGGCTAAAAAGGAAAGAAATTAAACAATTAGTATCTCAGCTGGCCATCCAATGAGAGACGAGAAACAAAGTTCAAGAGTCCTCTACACACATCGGATTTTGCCTCATGTGGAATTTCTTGTGTTTGATAAGTGAGGAATTCCGTGTGAAACACTTTCCGCAATCTGGACACTTGAATGGTTTCTCCCCTATGTGTAACCTTACATGATTTATAAGACTAGACCTACTACTGAAATCTTTCCCACAATCCGGACACTCATACGGTTTCTCTCCTGTGTGAGTCCTCCAGTGTATCACCAAACTGGAATTCCTTATGAAACTTTTCCCACACTCAAGACATTCGTATGGTTTTTCTTCTGTGTGAATTATCTGGTGTTTCATCAGATAGGAATTGTGACTGAACCTTTCCCCACAATCTGAGCACTGATATGGTTTTCCTTCTGTGTGAGTTCTCTGGTGTTTAAACAGGTAGGAATTCCGAATGAAAAATTTCCCACAAAACAGACATTCGTATGGTTTTTCTCCTGTGTGCGTCCTCTGATGTATCACAAAGTCCAAATTCTGAATGAAACATTTCCCACATTCCACACACTTATATGGTTTTTCTCCTGTGTGAATCCTCTGGTGTTTCACCAAGTAGGAATTCTGACTGAAACTTTCCCCACAATCTGAACACTGATATGGTTTTTCTCCTGTGTGAGTTCTCTGGTGTATCACCAGGTTGGAATTCTGACTGAAACTTTTCCCACAATATATACAGTCATATGGTTTCTCTCCCGTGTGAGTTCTCTGGTGTATCACCAACTTGGAATTCCTAGTGAAACTTTTCCCACAATCTGGACATTCATATAGTTTCTCTCCTGTGTGAGTCTTCTGGTGTATCACCAAGTCGCACTTTCCAGACATTCATAAGGGTTTTCTCCCGTGTTAGTCCTCTGGTGATTCAATAGGTATGAATTTCGAATAAAACTTTTCCCACAAAACAGACACTCATATGGTTTTTCTCCTGTGTGAATTCTCTGGTGTATCACTAAGTTGAAATTCCGAGAAAAACCTTTCCCACAATCACAACACTTATATGGTTTCTCTCCCATGTGAGTCCACTGGTGTTTCACCAGGTTGGAATTCCGACTGAAACTTTTCCCACAATGACATTTATATGGTTTCTCTCCTGTGTGAGTTCTCTGGTGTTTCAACAGATAAGAATTCTCTCTGAAACTTTTCCCACAGTCAGGACATTCAAAGGGTTTCTCTCCTGTGTGAGTCTTCTGGTGTTTCAACAGGTAGGAATTCTGACTGAAACTTTTCCCACAACCTGAACACTGATATGGTTTTTCTTCTCTGTGAGTTCTCTGGTGTAGCACCAGGTTGTAATTCCGAGAGAAACTTTTCCCACAATCACGACACTTATAAGGTTTCTCTCCTGTGTGAGTCCTCTGGTGTATCACCAGGTGAGAATTCCGAGTGAAACTTTTCCCACAATTAGTGCATTCAAAGTGTTTCTCACCAGTGTGAGTCTTCTTATGTCTCACTAGATTGGTGTGCATGCTAAATCTTTTGCCACATTGGGAGCACTAGTAGAACTTCTCTCCAGTATGGGTCATTGCATGAATCATGAGGAAGCTTTTCCGAGTCCAAACGTTTGTATAGCTTTTCACAGGATGGATTATCTCGCACATAAGCAGCTATGACCTGTAATCTGTGTTTTTCTCACATTACGCAGTCTGTGCAGATTTTCCAACACTGATATGCTTGGGCTCTTAAGGAGATCAAAAATATTTCTGATCTATTACTTGGAGGTACTTTGACTGAAGCCACTTTCCTTTCTCAATGGCATTAATTTATGTCTGCCAGTTTTGGCTTCCAAGGAATACTTTTTCTTCTCACTGATTTCCAAGTATTTCCAACTTTTTCTTTAATTGGAAATTATTCCCCTTGACTTCTCATGTAATAACCATACTGGTAGCAGTAGCATTCAGTAGCATAAAGCATATACCGCTTTATAGTCCTAAGTGTTTTACAGAGTCAGCCTACTGGCCCCAACAATCTGGGTTCTCATTTTACCCACCTTGGAAGGATGAAAGGCTGAGTCAACCTTGACCCTGGTGAGATTCAATTTGCCAAATTGCAGGCTGCCAGCAGAAATAGCCTGCAGTACTGCATTCTAACCACTGTGCCACTGCAGTTCTTGTTTCCTTCAGTTCCACATGTTGCAATGTTTCTTTGAGTTCCACATACTCTTTCAGCCAACTGAAAACTTAATTCTTGTTATTCTCTCTCTTGTCTCTCATCTGCTGAGGAAGGAGAAGCGTTTTTACACTTTCATGAGGAAGTGGAATAGATTTTGTTTGTTTTGCATTTTAATATTGCTTCTCATTCTCTGTGGTCCAGAGTGCTCTTCTTTGCATTCTCTTTTTTCTGTAAGATTCAAATTAATACATTAATTTCACTATTATTTAAAAAACGTCTGCAAGACATGTCAAAGCAGCAAACAAAACCCCATATATTGCCATGAAAACATCAATATTCTAGTTTAATTAGTTATGATTCACTTTGCAGATAGACTAACGAGATTCAAGTCAAATATTGACACAATTGTAAAATTCTTTTTGGGTTGAAGAGATCACACATATATGCACACAAATGCACACAGAAATACACATGAAAACATGTATCTAAGAATGCAAAATATCCCAGAAATGTGTTTTCTCATTTTTTAAAATCTAATTTTAAAAAGTGTGCACACTAAGAAATGAAATGGTTCCCAAATCCTAGGCAAGATTTAAAGCATCTACTTTACCCAAGATACTGTTTACTTGCCAGAAAAGCAACATGTAAATAAAATCACAAGGAATGAAGTGTAATATGAAATACGAGTGAGATGGGCAGATATGAAATTTTAAAAAATAAATAAATCTCCCTAATGTCAAATTCAGAACTAGAATCCTTCTTGTAGGTCATCTAGCCCACCTCCAGCTCAAGCAAGAGACCCTATATTATATAGGCTTAGGGCCTGTATCATTTCAGACAAGTGGCTGTCCAATTTTTTCTTAAAAACTTCCTTTGATGAAGCACCCACAACTTCTGAAGGCAAAGCTGTTGTACTGTTTTTCTTTTGTTTCTAAATTTGTTTTGAACTTGATTAGTTTGCAGCCATTGCTTCTTGTGTCACTTTCTGGTGCTTTGAAAAGAAGTTGACCCTCTCTTTGTGACAGCCCTTCAAATACTGGAATACTGCTATCGTGTCCCCTCTGGTCTTTCTTTTCTTTAGACTGAGCCAAACCCAAATCCTGCAATCGTTCTTCAATATGCTTTAATCCCAAGGCCTCTCAATTTTAGTGTCTCCCATTTTCCAGCAGAAGATTACAGGCAGCACATTTAAATTATACAGCGTAAGTATAATAACATTTGGGGAGAGAGAAAAACATGCAGTAGCATGCTCAGAACACGCAGAGGGATACAATCAAGATCAAGTGAGGTACAAATATCCCTCCATAAAGCCTTAGTAAGACCACACACCTAGAGTACTGCATCCAGCTTTGGTCACCCACACTATAAAAAAGATGTTGAGACTCTAGAAAGAGTACAGAGAAGAGCAACCAGGATGATTAAGGGACTGGAGACTAAAACATATGAAGAACGGTTGCAGGAACCGGGCATGGCTAGTCTAGTGAAGGACCAGGGGAGACATCATAGCAGTCTTCTAATATTTGAGGGGCTGCCACAGAGAGGAAGGGGTCAAGCTGTTTTCTAAAACATTCGAAGGCCAGATAAGGATTAATGGATGGAAACTGAACAAGGAGAGATTCAAACCTGGAAATAAGGAGAAACTTTCTGACAGAGAGAACAATCAACCCATGGAACAGCTTTGCCCTCGGAAGTTGTGGGAGTGCCATCACTTGAGACCTTCCAGAAGAGATTGGACTGCCATTTGTCAGAAATGCTGTAGGACAGGGGTCTCCAACCTTGGCAAGTTTAAGCCTGGAGGACTTCAACTCCCAGAATTCCCCAGCCAGCTTTGGGAGTTGAAGTCCTCCAGGCTTAAACTTGCCAAGGTTGGAGACCCCTGCTGTAGGGTGTACTCCTTGGGCAGGGGGTTGGACTAGATGACCTACAAGGTCCCTTCCAACTCTGATTATCTGTTATCTGCATGCAGCACACATGTTTCAGCCTTGTTGCTTCTCTGCTTTTACCCCGTGGTGAAAACCAAAGAGGCCGACTTGTTCCAGGCTTCTCCTCCGACCTGCTCTAAAACTCACCTTCCAGCTGCTGTCGCTTCCGCCCTGGGCAGAGCATGACCGCCGCCTTCCATCCCTCCCACGGCAGAGCCAGAAGAGGAAGTTCCTCTGCCCTTCTCCTCTCCTCGACATTCTTTCTAGCAATAATCGATGGTTTCAATGCCTTTCAACTCCGCTGCTCTCCGTCCCTTTTGATCCCCGATCTCAGCCATCACCGAAGCCGCCTCCAGATGGACGGTTTTCTCGGCAACTGGGGAGCCGTGTTCAGAGCTCCCCCTAGTGACGTGAAGCTGGAAATACGCTCCTTGTCTCTTATCTGGCGTTTCTAAGATTTTTTTTTTTTAATTAAGAGCCGTTTTCCGCTCATAGCAACCACATCCATAACTTTTCTTATTGGACCATCTAGTCTTAGTCTGTCCTTTGGCGTCTCCCAGGGACCTCTACATCGTCCCTGAAACTGAGCCAGGACCAGGAGCTTATTTTGCAGGAACTAAACCAAGAGACAGCATCCATGGGGGGAATCAAATTGAACAGAATAGAATAGAATTATTTTATTGGCCAAGTGTGATTGGACACATAAGGAATTTGTCTTGGTGCAAATGCTCTCAGTGTAGATAAAAAGAAATATTCATTAAGAGTCAAGAATCATAAGGTACAACACTTAATAACAGTCATAGGATACAATAAGCAATCAAGTCATACTAGGAAACAGTAAAAATCCTTAGGATATAAGCGACAAAGTCATACAAGTGGGAGGGATGGATGATCAGGAGTGATGGGAATATTAATAGTAATTGTAATGCAGACTTTGTAAATAGTTGGACAGTGTTGAGGGAATTATTTGTTTAGCAGAGTGATGACATTTGGGGAAAAACTGTCCTTGTGTCTAATTGTTCTCTAGCAGCATTTTGAGGGTAGGAGTTGAAACAGTTTATATCTGGGATGTGAGGGGTCTGTAAATATTTTCACAGCCCTCTTTTCGACTCGTGCAGTATGAACACAATGTGCCGTCAGGCAACAAGAAAGGGCACCTCCTTTGGGGATCAGTGGAGAGTCTTCCAGCCAGTTCTTTGTCTTGGGGTGCAGGAAAACTCCCCCAAACTATCTTTATGACTGAGGGAAGCTAGAAGAGTGAAGCCTGACCCTACTTACCTTCACAAGATTAGCAGGTGCTGCATCCTAAAAGTTGATAAAGGTCTTGTTTGTATGTGCAGCCTTAAAGGATTGCCAGCTTCATCCCTTTAATAGAATACAAGTAGTCCTTGACTTACGAAAGTTCTTTTAGTGACTATTACAACAGCACTGAAAAAAGCAACTTATAACCGGTTTTCACACTTACAACTCTTGCAGCATCCCCGTGGTCATATGATCAAAATTCAGTCGCTTGGCAAGTAACTCATATTTATGACAGTTGCATTGTCCTGGGATCATGATCTTCTGAAAAGCAAAAATCAGTGGGGAAGCCAGATTCACTTAACAGCAGTATGATTAATTTAACAACTGCAGTGATTCACTTAATTGTGACAAGAAATGTTGTAAAATGGGGCAAAGTCAATATATGTTTGACACTAACAAGAGAAATTTTGAGCTCAATTGTTACTGTAAGTCTATGACTACCTGGAATGAAATATGGCACAAAACCCATTCACGTTGCTTCTAAACTTATTTAGATAGGAGATATTATTTTTCCATCTGCATTCTTGCAAGGGCTGAATTAGAGGGCAGAATTTCTTTGAGCTGCCTTCCCAATTTCCAGAGGAGTTCAGATTCCAGCATTGAATGTACCCAGGTAGTTTGGGCAAAAGATTTTGAGACAGCTAGTTTGTAGAAAATTGATCTAAAGTGTCCTGTGCTTTATTAGTCGGCTGTCAGTCACTGTCAAAATCCCTCTAAATCCCCAAACTTTATTACTGCTTTCCTGTGGTTCCCAAGGATTTCGGACATAGAAGCACCAGCTGGCCAGAGACTTCAAGGCAACTATCTT